ATGCCAAATCCTGTGCTATCTGTAGCTAAGCTGTGGCAAAAGGATGCCCATCTTTACTAAGGAGAGCACTGATGATTTTGCCACTAAAGCGGTCACACTGCCTTGGCCTATCCTCCTTCTCCTTTGAAAGCTTCATCAGACAAACAAGTAGCCTGACTCCTTTCAGAGGTGTTAAAGGCAATGAGAGCTACTGGTTTAGTAATAAACCAGCTTCTGTGTCTAAACATAGGCCCTCAATGGCAAGAAGGTTGGCTGCTTATTTTCTCTTTATAGTCTGTGATGCCAGTGCCAGGGCAGTGATGTTTGTGGTGGGAAGTTCAGTGGTGTCCCTGTGGAACTACAGGGTTGAGTAAGGACATAGAGAAAACACCCACTTACATGGAAATGTGGTTACTGTACCCATGTATCCATGATGCAATCTATGGTGCAGTCTTTGGGAAGATTTATGGTGCTTTCTGCGTGGACAGACTGAAAATTTTCTTGGGGACTGTGCCCCGTGTTCCTGGGCTCTGCAAAATCTTTCGAAGTGCCCTCAGCAGAGCACCTGAGTGAGGTTTGCCAGTGATTGTAGCTATTCCTGCTGCTCCACCTCAGCAACTGGTGGTGGTATGGCAAGTCTGGAGCACAGTACAGACCCTGTGATCTAGGTATGGCTTGTGTCTTCACTGGCAGGGAGTGAACAACTGAGGAGGATGATGAAAGTTCCCCTTCAAAACCAGCCTCAGTGGTGTTTTACATATAGCAAAGGAACACTGAAACATTTCACTGTGTCATCTGAAAAGAAGCATACAGCAGAAATAAAAATGTGATAGTCTGTGCATTTTGGAGAATAAGAGAGAGACTATCAAAAAGGATATAGGAATTTAGGGAAGCCTGAAATGCTTTAAGACATTGGAAGAGGGCCCTCACTGTTATCTTCTCTGTAAGAGTGAGATCAAGCTACACCATTTAAATTAGCCTAGGGAAACCTAATTTGGTGAGAGGGATCACATCGAGGAGCACACCAACTAGTTTGAACTTAAAGAAAATACCTTTGAGTTTGGTGGTTTGTGGGTTTTTTGAATGAATAAAAGGTGGGTTAGAAGAAATACCTTAATCACTCCTTGGGCTGACTATGTAGTTTTTATATATTTAGAGGTGAGTGAAGAGACAAAACTACCCATGTTTTACAGAGTTTTCCAAATAGCAAAAGAGCATTTTTTTTCTAAGTCAGCCATGTGTATTTTGAAGGGAGTATACACGTCTTCTTCCCTGAAACTTGCAGGGTCACAGAAGAACCCATTTTCTCCAGTTCCTGACATTGTTCAGCTCCTGAATGGAGCTGCTTCATTCAACTTCTTCCTGGTTGTTATTCCAGTTGTTTGTTATTCCAGTTGTTATTCCTGGTTGTTTATCCAGGTACTTCTTGAGTCCATCTCTCAGATACATTCCTACGGATTATTTTCTGCTCTTCGTCTTTGCACACAACCTTCCCCAATTGCCTCCTGTCCACACAGTGCAAGTCAGGTGAGAGCTGCATCGAAGATTTCAAAGACTGAGGAAGGAGTTAGTGAGTGGCCAACAGTAACAAGTGAAGTAATTTGCTCTATTAAAGAAAGAGAGGTTTTTATGCTGTACATGCCAGTTATACAGAGAGAGACAGATACCATGGCAACAAGCTTGTCAGGCAGGAGCAGGGCACTACTTTAAGATGAACTATCACTGGGTACATCATTAGTGGTGGAGAAACTTCATAAGCTTTGGAATTTGGGTTCCTTTTGCACCTAGAATCTCATCTGCTGTTATGGAATTTGAATCTCCAATCTATAAGCTTAGCCTGGGGTAAAAATAGCAGGCTGGGATGTTGGATGCATCCTGAATAATATGGAAAGGAAGAATGTGCCTACAGTAGCTCAGTGCTTCCAGGCCTGCCTGGTTGTTGGAACTGTATGGAAAGGAGGAATGAAAACATACCATTGAGTCAGGTTCAGCAGGATTGTCTGAAATAAAGATTGAAAGGGAATTTGTAAAGAACTGTTCCTTCTGTGCTTACTCATAAGCCATGGATCTGATCATTAGCCTGCACTGATGGATTGATCCCCCTGTAAATCTCCCATTCTGGCAGGGTGGACAGATAATTGCGCATACAAGGTTGATTCTTTTTATTCTCCTGTGGTTGTCCTGTCCACAATGCAGACACTTTGGGGCAAAGCTGGAGTCAGGTGCTGATAGGGTAGGATTTATACCCACGGGAAGTTCCTCTGTAGGCAACCACAAAGCAATTAGTGCACAAGCCATGTGGGACTCTGACTGTGGTCTAATGTGAATCTCATTTTATCAGAGCAACGTACAGAGTTCAAATTTCCAGTTCACCAGCCTGCAGTGCAGAGGAAAACATTTCTATGGGCAAATGGAGAGGGAAAGGAAAGATCTGAAGACCTGTGGCAGAGTTTCTGTAGGTGTCTCTTTAGCCCTGCCATATCTATGAAGTGCTGAGAATGCCACACAGCACAGTTTTCACTGTGACAGGGAAGGGATCACAAATTCATGAACCTTTGTGATTTCCTGTATTATAATTCCCCATGACTGAGCTGCTCAAATCTAAGGAGAGCTGCAGCCCTTCACAGCTCCAAAAATGAAGCACAGCCAACATGCAGAGTGTAAGATTGCAGAGGCCAGATGCAGAGGCCAACTCACCATGCCCCACTGCTTCCACAGGAACTGCTGCAGGAATTTTAGTCAAAAGCTATTTTAGCCCCATCAGGACTAACTGGGAGAAGTGACGAGCACAGACATTTGCCCAGCTTGCAGCATAGGGAAGGAAAATCAGGTGGACATTAATCATCTTTTTGCAGATGCATCAAGTAAAAAGGAGAAGCATATTCAATCCCGTGAAAAGGCTTATTTTTGAGCAGTTGTTCTCTAAGACCTGATAGCCAAGTGTTGTACTCAAAGAACAAATGAAAGAAGAGGTGGCTCCTCTGGCACTGCCTGCTTTCCAAAGATAAAGGAAGATGGAGTGCAGCACTCTGCCCATCATGTATAGGAGGGTGAGAGCCATTGAGATAACTGTGAGAATTATTGTGATGGGGGCATCTGGCTTGCTCTAAAAGGAGAAGTGGGAGCATTCAATGGATTTCTGCATGTGTTTGAGTTTTCCCAGTCCTGTGGAGAGGGGCCTCTCTGACCATAATTGGAACGAACTCATGAATAGCGCACGTGAGCAGAAAGCAGATCTGAAGTTGCAAGCAGCCAGCTCACCCTGCTGCATCATTAGCAAGGAGACATGTTGCATATGCAAAATATAGGGCAGGGAAGGACACACTCATCCTACTGAAAAGGCAGAACATTCACCAGAATTTTCTGGTGGTTTTGGAGAGGTCATCTTACCCCAGGTAGCTTTTCCTTCCAGGCAAGTGGAGGTATACAGATGTCTGTTGTTGGTCAGCAGGCAAGAATCTGCCAGGAGAAACTGGTGGCAACCTATGACAGCTGCACACAGGTAAAGGCTAGTGATATGTGCAGCGGGACAGTGGGGGAAAGCCTGTGGTTCCTACTCTGGCTTCTTTTATCCTGCAACCCAAACGAAATATTTTTTTCTCTTTTACTGGCACAGACATCAATTAGAAAGGCAGAGTCATGCACTGACACATCCCTTTTAGTCACATAAGGCCAGCAGCAGGAAGAAATGCTGGAAGATGGGAGGTGTGGGGTTTGTCACCAGGCATTCTGTGATCAGAGATGGGAATCAAAATAACAAACAGCTTTCTTCCTGCTCAAAGGAAGAGCTTAGGAACCAGCAGGTGTGCAGAAAGGCCTCTCTTAAACACAGCATTGAAGAGGAAGAGGGGGACAGAGTCATGGCCCCACATCTGCCTTGAGGACACAGATGTCAGCCTCCATTCCCGCTCCTGGGGAGAAGTGTCTGACATGTCACTGACCATGACACGCATGGTCTTGTCAGATCATTACTGCAAGTTCCAGAAATATCTTCTGATTGCTAATACAGCGTGCTAGATTATCTTGCCTGCTATTATATTACTCTTTAGAATACTATGAAATTTAATGGAGAGAGCTTTTTTTTGGAGGACAAATGTTTTACAAGGTCTTAGGAAAGCATAGCACTGTGAGCCAGTGCAAAGTTTGACACTTGAAGCCAGCTAGCTTCAGTTTCTTCTTCAAGTCACAATCCACATTAACACATCCCCCACATTCTCAGGCTCCTAGACTTCCTACATGTGCATTTTTTGTTTCTTGCCTTCAAGAGATCCTGAGCTCCAGTCACTGATTAAACTAAAGCTCCAAGTCCCATCATTTGGCATGCATACGGACAAGCATTCACAGGAGAAGATCTCAGATGAATTAACTGCAGAAAATTGCATCTGACCTTCCATCCTCTCTCCTCCTCCTGGAGGACTGAGCCGAGCCTTGTGGAGGAGTGCCATCACATTTTTCTGATTCCCAGTTAATCCTTGGGGCTGTATCTGTGCCCAAATCCTCAGTGCTCTCAGTAGCTCTGCATCTGCCTCCAAGTTCCTTACCCCCAGCTTCTGAAGACACTTGGCACAGCCAAAGATGACAATTGTCTGCAAAAGGAGGTTGCCAAGGAAGCAACATAAATTTTGCTCACACTCTTGAGCATGGAGCAAAATGTATGCTGGATTTTGCAGCAATGGAGATCCCTTCCAGGATTTTGAACACTGCTGAACTTTGCTGCACAGTCAGAAGTCAAATCACAGCCACCACAACCATGCTGTCAGAAATGATGAGATTTCAGCATGGCACAGAGCAATACTCTTTGGGCAGGAAAAGTAAAGGAGGTCAGTCCTGGGTTGTTTATTTGTTTGTTTAAGAAGCTATTTATTTTATAACTGACAGTTCATTGTTTTTATTGGCTTAAAGTAACTTGCCAGGAATAAAAACAAGTTTCTCTTTCTTTTCTTCACAACAAAGAGATGCCAAACAAGTGGTTTTATGCTCAGAAGAGCCTCAGAGTCTCTGCTGAATTGATTGACCGTGGTTCAAACCAGTGTGCAGCACAGCCACTGAGGGAGAAACAGAACAAGGAGTCAGAGCATCAGGAAGGTCTACAGGATGCCACTGGGGCACTCTTCCGTGGGCCTCTGGGAGAACAAGCTTGGAAAGGCTGGAATTGCATTTTAATCTTCTATATGTGTAAGATCCATCTGTGCTTGAACTTCAGGGAAATCTACTGCCAGGATCAGCCTCAAACATTGCAATTAGGGTCTCTTCCAAAGGAAGATGAGTTCTGCAGGGCAAGCTGGGGAAAGCTTCAACTTTTAACCTTGAAACCTCTAGGGTGTGAGTATGCAATGTACAATTTCAGCCATATTTAACTAACTGTGACTGAGGGTCACAAAGCTTTCTAGCCATCCTCCTCCCTTCGAGCCAATCTTCAGCTGAGAGGACTAATTTGAAGGACCTCTTGGGGCTCCTTCCAGCTGTTTTCTGAGATATATTTGTATTCTGCAACGGGAAGGCTCAAGTTGATTGCTTTTACAACAGCTTCAACAGGAAAAATTTGCATTAAAAATAATGTGGGAAGAAAAAAGACCTGGCATCTTAAAAGGTTTCTTCTAATTCTGGCAGGTTGATCAGTACATTCTCTGCCAGAAAGAGCTCCCTGCTGTGTGTTTTCTAATGAATTGACAACTGCCCTCAAAAAAGAGATAGTGAAATGCACTGTGTAAGCACCTTCTCCATCAGCCCTTGGACTTTTGAAAGTATCTTTATTTTTTTGCTCATATAAAGGTAAAAGTTCATTCTACTAATTCAGATAGGCATTGTGGGCTGAAGAACATTTTCACATAAACAAACTTGCCCTTTGAATCACTACCATGTTTCTCTTACAACAATGATTAAATCACTTACAATAGTGATTTAAAATAAGTGTATTAGTGTGGTCTACTGCTACAGTTGGATCAGGTGGTATTTCAGTCTGACCAGCAGAGAGATCTGGATGACTCCATTCTTGTCTTTGTCCACGAGATGAAACATTTCTGAAATGTAGAAGAGTGGGGGAAAAAAATGGATATAAACCACAGATTTTGGCATGTAGAGAATCGCTACCCAACAAAATGTAAAAGTCTGGCTTTTTGCCATGATCTACTGGAAATTTAGACTGGTTCTGCAAGATAATATTACAGTGGTTCCTCTTTCTTCTTACAAATAATTTCTAAGCTGCTTCATGTGGTGGAATAGACCTACAGCAGCAAAATGGGGGTTGGCAGCAGGATAGCTATAAAATCTGATATGGTGGCATCTGGCATGATCTGAGGACAAACGTGTAAATCAGGTCTGAGTAAGGACTGCAAGTGATAAATGGTCCCATTTATTAGAGCTGCAACAATGTGGGGGCCAGAGCACTGACCCCCACATAAGTTGCTGATGACTGTAAAGCACAAGAGAATGGTGTGTTATGGAAACGTGTCCCCTAGTCCCCATGGGCATTCAGACAGAAAGGCTTTTGCCATTTCTCCGCTGCTTCCTCTGACTCAATTTTGCTGGCACCCTGACCTTTCCATGCAATTTGCTACATTCACAGCTAAAAGACACCAAATACCTAATGCAACCCCAAGCTTTCAGGAATTGCCCTTGGGCACTCACTGAACAGGGTCTCCAGGTGGATCATGCAGGCCACAAAGCCATCAAAGTCGATGGTCAGCTTGGTGCTGCAGGCATAGCAGGTGATGATGCTGTGCTGCACTTCATCTTTGAGTCTGAAACCTGAGGGCCAGGAGAGGACAGGAGTCACTGACACAGCAGGTTAAAATTTACTGTCTTGGATGTGACTTATCCATGGACTGCTGCAGCTGCAGGTTGAAGGGCAGGATTGTTCCTCCCAGAAGGTCTGTTGGACTTCCACACCCACCTTTCTGGGTCCTTTCCAAAGCCAGTTGTGCTGGCTGAAGAGAGGCATAGAGATCTCCTAGAGAATTTTGTCAGACTGCATATTTCACATTGTTTCACAGTATAACCAGTCCTATGTTCCCCAGATAAACCCCTAATTAGTGAGTCTTGGCACTGCAGCTGAATAGCAGTGATTGCGGCAGAGCCAATTGCTCACATAACACATTGGGCTCTATTCAGGCTCATATTTATGTTATTTCTGTCTGGATCATTCACATAAAATCCACTGAGCACAAGACAAATAAAAAAAAAAACCCAAAACCAGTGCTCCTCTAGACGTCCCTTAGGTGGCAAGCTCTGCTCCAAAAGTGAACACATCAGAGAGGACATCATTGGCGCATGCCTTGATCAGGCTTGCACCTTCTCCAGAGGACAGAAATGAAGGAAAAAGAGCGTGGGAGGACATGAAGGAAGAAGAGGGTTTGGGCATAGCTCTGAAACAGGATTATTAGATTAGGAAATAATGAGGCTAAAAATAGAGCAAGTAATAATCAGATGCATAAGCAATGGTCACAGCATGGACAGAAGTACCAGTGGTTCATAAGGCAGAACAGAGGATGGGGTTTGATGTATGAAACAGCAAAAGGATTGCAGTGTGTGACTGTGAGGAAGGGAGAATGTCACTGGCAATACTGTGATCAAGGTGACGGGAGAGAAGAAAAGCATTAAAATGCTCCGCTGTTCTCCCAGTGTTTGGTGATCCAATCCCCAAGCAGCACACTCACCTGCCTTTCTGAGGGCATTTTGCATCTCATGGGAGTTGATGGCACCAGAGTAGTCACTGTCTACTTTCTTATAGATTGCCTGTGGCAAAGAGGAAGGAGGGAATGGAAGGGGGGACTCGAGTGTATGGCCCTGCAGCAATGCCATGGTGTGGGCACCAGAGGCAGGCTGGGCTTGCACAGCTGGCTCACAGCAGCTATGAAGTTGTGGTAACACAGATCTCATCAGGGGCTACAAGCCACAATGAACTACTCAGAGGGCTCCTCTAGGCTTTAACCTTGGTTTGCTAGCCCACCATGCCCTGCCATTGTCCCTGCTCGTGTAGCTAACCAGTGCCAGGACAATCATTCCTACCTCTGCCATGTTCACATTGTCACTGCTGTGCCCTCTGATGGCTGGGACAGGGACTATCCCTACCACCACAAGTTCCTACTCTTTGAAACATAACGAGCGAGAGAAACATTTTAAGCAACAGGTGGCAAGCCAGGAAGAGTGGGAAACACGTTCCCATGGGCTGGCAGCATGCCTGCCTTCACATTACATGGTGGCAGACAGGCCATGGAGGAAAATATCCTATCATTTGGCAAACACTACAACAGACCAAGTCCATCTTGCTTAATGTTTCAGACAAGATGACAGGTGCCTCCTACTGCCAGCAGGTTTATTATCCAGAATTAGAAGCCACCCAGACCTAGAGTTAATAGTGGATTTTGGTCTCAAGGCTTGCTTTTCTGACAAGCCTTAGGGCAGAGCTGTGTCTTCATGAACCCAATATTTCTTCATAGAACTCCAGGGCAGATGCTCTGTGATGAACAACACCAAGTATGGTGGCAGCAGGCTTGCCTGAAAGGGACGTGGTCACACCAGGCAAGTCCAACTCTAACCTTCCTTTTGACCACTTTGTTCTGGGTGAACTTCTTGGAATATTAAACCCTCTATCAGAATAAAAAAATAGTTCAACAGTTCTACAAGATTTCAAAAATACAAAGGCAGTTGTTTGTAGGTCCTAAAAATATGTTTCTTGTGTTTGCTTATACTCAGCCAGCAGTGAAATATATTGCAACAGCTGAAATGTTCATATGAGCTTTAATAGAGCAGGCAGCAGAAAGAGCTGTCTTTGCCAATAATCAAAGAGAGTTATCTGTCTTTCTGTAAGGTATGGAGAATTATGGAGAATTATGGGGCCAAGGTGAAAGAGGATTTGCTTGTGCCCTATTGAGTGAGAGGTGTTTCAGAGCCCTGGAACAAATTTGAGCCCTGAAAAGGAAGGCTTCCAATTATATCTGCCTGTGAGGGTTTAACTCCATCTCAGTTCTGGATCTGTACTTCAGAGCTGAGAGGGGAGGGAAGGGGATAGAGTCAGAGATGTTGTTACCAAATCCTTTTGAATCTTCATCCAAAGTGTCTTGAATTCTACAAGTCCCAAAGTGCTGGTCCCATTGGTCTGGGTCATCTTAAGGCGTGGTTCAAAAACCAAGATTCCTTTATCTTTAGCAAAACCGGAGTGTAAAGACAAGAGTTGGATTGTGCAACACTGGAGAGCAATCTGGAGAGCAGTTCTGATAAAAACAAATCACCCATCACAGTGTCATCTTAATGCCAGTTTAGTTCTTATTTGTAATGCATCTCCATCTCCCAAACACATGCCCACAGCTTCACATTTGCTTGGCAAAAGGCATGCCAAGAATTTCTAGGCTGTCTTCACTCTCAAGGAATGATATATGGGATTGCTAGATATGTAAGCAAGATTAAAGGCATTCACATTTTGGACACTTAACAGTAGATTGGATTTCACCTTAGGGGGAAAAGGGCCTGGCCATGCAGCAAACAATTATTAGAAACCAGAGGCAGGAGCTGCAAGTGAAGAGAGTCAGTAGCTGCCTACAGAGTCCTGTCCCATGTCCTTCAGGGCTTTGAACATCCCTTCCAATGGAAAATTATGCAGAAACAGGGATTTGGACACTATGACATTGTACTTACTGAGTTACCCCATTAAGCTTGGGAGCCTATGGAGTGTAGGGCAATGACATCACTTCTCCTAATAGCCAGTTATCCACAAGATCCACAGTGAGTCTCTCCTAGCCTCAATATGGCCATGCCATGACACCAACACCAGTGAGATCCTGGCAGCATGGGTCATCACCCCACCAGTGCAAAGGAGCACTGGGTAGAGGTGTTGACCTCCCTTTTTCCTTCGGCTACACAAACCTGTGCAGAGGTGTTGACCTCTCCTTTTCCCTTGGCTACACAAACCTTATAAGCTCCCAAGTGTCCCCCCAGCTATGCAGAAGGGAGGCAGGCCCTGCCTGTACTTACAGCCTGACCCCTGGGAACAGGCTCAGCCTGTTCCTGCTGCTGTGAGCCCGGTGCTCTGTAATCAGGACCAGACTCAGAAACAGAAGCTGTGGATGTACTCAAAACCTGCATCCTGCCAAGCATGCTGTGTATGCACCTGGAACTGCACAGGTGCAGCCAGGCAGAAAGGCCCTACTTCTCCCCACTATATTTAGGAAAATGTTTAAGCAGTGAGAGATGGTGGTGAGAGAAGCAGCTGATGATTAAATGGTTCATGTTTCTGCAACCATGATAGAGATGCTTGGTTAAATTTTTTGCCCCCAGCCATGTGCCGGGACAACAGAAGTGTAAACTTAGTCCAGCTTGTCAGGAAGCTTTGCAAGAGAGTTCCAGAAACTTTAAAGGTGATGAAATTACATTCAAAGGATAAATCTAAAAGGCTGATCATCTCCCTGCAAGTGTTAATGCTGAATCTATCACTTTTCACATCCTTTCCTGTACAAAAAGGAAATATAAAAGTCTAAGTGAGAAACAGTTTAAGACAAATACTTTTCTGCAGAGAATGCTGAAGATACCAACCACCTTAAGGTCTTGGTAGCAAAGCAAAGGCTCTGCCATCTCTTCCATTATGTCCTTTCAATTGATTAATATGGTGTTTTTTGGTTTTTTTTTTTTTTGTTGTTTTTTTTTTGTTTTTGTTTTTGTTTTTTTTTTTTTTTTTTCCACAGTGGGAGGGGATGTTATTGGTTTTGGTGGTGATAAGTCTCTATCTGTCCACAGAAGAGATGCAGCAGCAGCATAATAACATTGTCCATGGTGGTCCTCCCGGAAAAGTACAGGGAATGTTGTGCCTCTGCAGAACATCTGCTGGCAGCATTTGGAAGGGAAGCACCAGGCACTATTTCTACCCCACCCCATATTTAGAGGTTCAACAAGCCAGGAGAAATTCAGCTGGGACCAGACAAAAACTGTTTTTCATCATCCCTAGCTGACAGAGCTGGGTTTTGTTAGCACAGACCCTGTTCTCAGCTCCATCCAATGGGAAGTACATAGTGTCATTCACTCTTCGCAAAAAACCAGTTCAGGATCCTTTGAAGTTCAGTTGCAGTCACTTCACAGTCCTGGACAGAAAACAAAACATACTGTAGGTGTTAACACAAAAAATATTTGAAGCAAGCTCTACTGATGTGCTATCAGACATCCAGAGACTATTTTCTTTGCATATCTAAGACATGTAAACCCTTAATTTTTTTTTCTAACCCTTCACATTTACCCTCCGATATCAGAGGGAGAAGATCTTCAAAACCAATCATATTTCCTAGACACTCAACCAGGAAATAAGTGGTTTGTTAGGTGCTATGGTGACATGATCAAGTTAATGGCAACTTTTTAAAATGTTTGACTGAATAAAAAGTTTCAGGAAAACATTTGAGATTTTCAGGACTTACAGAAACTACAACCAAACAACTCTAAAATTGCCATCTGAAAACTCAGAATGGTCTTTCCCACTAAAAAGATGCTTTCCCTCTCCAGTAACAGTGGCCACCTGTTCATTAAGAGGAAACTTGACATGACAGCCACAGGCTAACACAGCAGGACTTTATAGATACTGTTTTTCAAATACACTAAGTAGAGAAAAAGCCCAGCCAACAGTTTTTTGATTCCTGGGGCTAAACAAAAAGGAAGAAATTGGCCAGCCAAGCAATTGTCAGAATTATATGATAACTCCACAGGTAAGTTATTTCACCCTGGGATAATATTTTCACAGTCCTCACTCCTATCCGCCCCTATTTTCAAAGTTATTCCCAGCCTTGCACTACCAAGGGGAAAAAAAAAAAATCACATTTTGCACCAATGAGAGGAACAATGTAGAAAATCTTCTCCATTGTAAAATAAACTGAACTGAAGCTATGAGTTAATAAAAGGGGAGAAATAATTGGTTTTTTTAACAGACAGTAAAAGGAATTGGCAAATCAAATATTTGTATAATCATAACAGAGAGGTCTCAGGTTTTTTTGTTCCATTTAATCCACTTACCTCTCCAGAGAGCTTTTGGAATAGAGTCTTGAACTAATCATCGATATTTTTGTTATCAACATGAGGCTAGAGGAAGGGGATGGCCAAGAGAGCGGTTAACAAGGTTCTAGAAAGTGAGCTGTGTATATTGTAAAGATGCTGTACAGGGGCTTATTTACAGCAACAGAAAATGAGCATGTGCTCTGCAGCAATGGCAAAACAGAGGCACTACTTTAGTCATGACCAGCCAGGGGCTGGCTTAGTTTGAGAGCAAATACTTCCTAAGGCTGATGAGAAACTTTTCTTCTGTTACCAAGACAGCATTAGAAAATAGCCACAGTGAAAATGTTGCCGCATTTGGCCAGAGCAATTCAGGAGCACCTTGGAAGCCTTTTGCAGCTTCTCCCAGGCTTCAGGAAGACTTTGTTTCTATGGAAATGTGCCCTCTCCACCTTCTCCTACCCATGCAGGAGGTAAGGACAATCATACGTGTTCCAGTTCAGTCTACAAGGGTGAAGTCTCTGTGCCGCATGGCCCATGTACATAAAAATGAACGTGAAACTAAGACATGGACATAAGTAAAAAATTCCCACATGCAAAAAATATTTCTCCTCAGCACAAAAGCATTCTGTAATCCCAGCTCGAATAAGAAATAAAAATCATGCCCCTGTTTTACTTCCACATTATAAAGGAAAACTCTGTCCAGTTAGGTCGTCTAACCTCATATGGCTTTGCAGACACCTCATCACCCATCATTTTTCGTAAGGAAAAAAAAAGAAAACTGTAAAACAACCAGAAATTATGAGTCTACTTTAAAGTCTTGCCTTTAAAATAATTAGAAAAAAAAAATCCCACAAAAGCTGTTTAACTATAAGATGTTAATAAATGCACAGAACAAGCCCCCAAGTTTCCTGCTTTCCATGCTCCACATCCCACCTCTGCCTGCCCCAACTCTTTGAAGATATTTCCCATGGGAAATGCAGCCTTGCTGTTCTTGTCTTCCATCCAGACTCCTGCTTTTTTGTCCAATGGATGCTATTGATACAACCCCTTTTAAAACCATCTCATCATCATCATCATAGTCTCAAATCCTGCACTCTTTCATTGTGGGAACTTCTCCTTCACAGAGCTGAGGGACCTTGTTCTCAGCTGAGTGCTTAGGGGACACCTCTGAAGAGCCATGACACTTGAGAACCATCTGCCATGGATGCATGGTCACTATGGTAGACTGTAGAAAAAAATGGGTTGTGGAAATGGGCCTATTTTGCTGGTTAAGACAACAGATCAAGCCCAGGGTATGGATGCAACACGTGACCTTCTCCTTTGCGTGCCTTCCCAGCAGAAGGGGGGGCTTTCAGGGAAGGTACTCACTGTGATTTAGCCTGATTCTCAGCAAAAACTCTCAGTCAGAACTCCCCATTCTTGTAGGGCTCAAAGGTGGAGGGCACAATGAGGTACTGTCCCCAGGACAGCATCATGCAGCTAGCTGTCGCGGACTCTCCGTGCCCTTCATTGAACCACTTGGGCTGGGGCTAATTTTTTGGCGTTTCAATGCTTTTGAGCTGCTAGCTCTTTCCACTTTTCTTTATTAATTTTTTTTTTTTTTTTTCAAAAGAAGAGCAGCAGCAACAGAGGGTCTCCAGGACGGGATGGAGCTCCGGAAGCCGTCGGGACAGCTGGGGCGGCACGGGTGCCGGCGACACGGGTGCCGGCGGCACGGGTGCCGGCGACACGGGTGCCGGCTCTTGAGACGGTCCCGCGGGCTCAGCGCCGTTCTCGGCATGCTCTTGCACTGCAGTTGTGTCGGCAGGGAGCAGCGGGACAGGCACGCATCCCCCGCCGGGCTGAGCACAGCAGCCGAGTCTCCTCCGGCGTCTGGACACTGCAGCGCAGGCGCAATCATCAAAGCCGGCGGAGACGTGTTGCATTCCACAGCAGCAGATAGTAATTGTTTACCTTTCTCTCCTGAGGCTCCTCTCAGGAGAGGAAAAATCCCAGCAGAGGATTTTTCATAATATCATGGCTACAGCTAGCAACCTCACACATGTTCACATAAGGATCAGTCCAGGCTGCTGGCTGGTGCCTTGCAAAGAAACATGGCCTGCGTGCACATCTGTGCTGCTTTCCAGCTGTGGAGAATGTGGTTTTGTCAGAAATCCTTTGGCAGTTCCCTGGTAAACCAGCCACCTGATTTCAATTTCAGTGCTTCAAAGCCATCTCAAGTTTTCATTGCGTAAAATAATAAGTCCGTGAGGGATGGTACAAAAGAAAACCACCAGGGTTCTGTCATGGGAAACAGGCAGATGATTAGAAGGAGCAAGGATCTTCCTCTATAAAGATTATCTTTTCACATGACTCTTTACACTTGGTACTATAAAATAAATAAAAGTATCATAATGTGTGCTCATGTCTGATCAAATTACTACACTAAATTTTCCATTAATTGGGCATTTTTTGCTAGCTTGTGGACAAAGTTAATTTTCAGACTATTGTTGAGCAATTTATGGTATCGAATAAACCTTCCAATTGCTTAGGAATTGTAGTCTCTGACTTCTTTAAATAGACAGAAAAAAAAAACAGTAAACAAAACAAAGTAGTAGTCACAAGGGTGAGACTTTTGGGGCCACATTAGTTGATTCACCCAACTTCTATTAGTAATACTAAGGATATACATTTGGATTTTGTAGGAAACAGTACTTAAATTTTCCTTAATACCAATATACTCTGTAGGAAGTTAAACATTGCACAGTTCATAAAATAAAACACTGACATAAGAAGGAACAGTAGTGTAAGAACAACATCCCTGCTATAAAACTCCTATTCATGACTTTTGGTCCACAAAGATGTCTTTCAAAAAGTATGATTCAGTGACACACAGAAAATGCTGTGTGGCTGATGCAGGATGGGAAGCATCATTTAGGGATAAGGTTTCTGTCTGTCTAAGACCAGAGCAGACAAAAAAAAAATCTTAACAAACATTGTATAATCATTCAGGTTTTCTCTAGTAAACTGTAGAAAAATATGCATGCTTTTCCTCTTTTGTTCTGAGATAAGATTGAATTTGGTATTTATTCAACAGCCCCATCATTTCCCCTCACTCAATATTAAGCTAAGTGGGACTGCAAGGGTTAAGGAGGCAGATCCATATCTTCCCCAATATATAAAGTTCATTTTCCCTTTGCATTTGCAAGGCTGCTAAAAGAGCACATTTAATTGCTACATGACCACATGTTCATTTATTGAGAGAGGAAAAGGGTTGAAAAGCCAAGGAAAAATTTGCAGCACAGGCTGCTGGGCCTCAGTAATGAGTATAGGATATTCCTACTGCCAGACAACCCTGGGGTCTCTTTCTTCAGCAATGAAAAGTCTCTTTGCCTCAGTATTGACATCTGGGGGGATTAGGGAAGGTTGAGCAGGGCTTGTTCATTACCAGGAGCCTCAGCTCAGAACTGTAAGAAGAACAGATCCACAGAGCTTGGCATTTCTTCTAAACAATATTAGCTACATTTTTGTAGTTTTAGAGTGCAGAGGTCCTGTTCTGCCTTCACCTGAACTAAACAGACAAATTCTGACCTCAGTTATACAAACTTCCTGGAAGCCAAATTTCAACAAGTATAAATGAGATCAAGACTGGGAGTCAGACATCTGTAATAAAGCCTTGTGGCCCAGTCCCTTGAAAATGATTATTCAGAACTTGAGATATTGGTCCAGTGATTCAAGGGCAAAGCTCTCCATAAAAGATATCATTCATAAGAAAGAAGTCATCGTGGCAGCTAAATTCTCCAGTGCAAGAGGAGGTGCCCATGTGGAGGCTGGAATTCTTCAGCAGAGACTACATACCTCCTGAGGAATCTGGAAGGAAGAGAAAAAGACAGTGTTAAAGTGCTGCTATATACCTGCACCTACCAGTAGGAAAAAAAAATAATCAGATAAAACCTACTTCAGACACTTTTTGAAAAAAATGTTCACTTACAACCACATATAATAGTATCAGATACACATGAAATTGTCTTTTCCTAGAGCTGTTCCAAAGCAAAAACTGTATTTTCATCCAGAGAAATCTATAGCATATCGAATTGCTTTTCCCCTGATGTGGTGTTTTGAATGATACTGTTGGTTGGAAATATTTGACTAAGTCTTTAAATGCTCAGTCAGGAAAAGTCAACAAGTTAGTCCTACTTTGCTAACCAAAACTAGAGTGTTCATTACAGCAGACCAAAACTCCACTAGTCTACTGCTACTGAATATGATGAAAATATAAGACTACTGTCACTAGCAGTCAGCCTGGGGATGATGAGATTGTTGGGAGGCAACTATAACAAGTTGCAAGTTTCAATATTTAGCTCTTCCTAAATTAACTGAATTGCTATGTTAACTTGTACCTCCAAATATAAGGCAAATTTTCCAAAAGCAATGAGTTGTCTTGAGAGCACAGATTCCAGTGAGAGCCAAAGAGAGTGTCCTCCCAATTCCCAAAAGAGCTATTACAAGCATCACCCATACAATGTTTGTGGAGCCTGAGTGGCCCCTTGAGACTTCAGGGTCTGTTGTTGCCTATAACCAGCACACTGGGGCAGCAAGAGCTGGGGTTGGGTGATGGAAACACAGTTGTTGTCAGCAGGCAGATACATGACTTACAAAAGCTCTGCAGAGCAGGTAGACAGACTTGAACACACATCTTTTCACCTTCTTCTGCAGAGAGATTTGCTTTAGGTCATCATCTCTGTAGTCCCAACTGGAGTTCCCCAGCCACAGCATCAGCTGCGATGAAGTAAACCTACTACAGTGTGTGACCCAAGGGAGCTGGGGTCATAGCTGGGTCATAGCCTACCTGAAATTACTTAGCAGCCAGGTTTTTAAAAAAAATTAACACCTTAAAACTCACTTAAGTGACTTAAGAGTCACCAAGTCTACCCGACTGTGAGTAAGGCCACAGAGGACACAGATGGGATGGAATAGATGTAAAGCACAAGGAGTTCTCCACTGTGCACACAGATGAGAGCAGACAGACATCCATAATGTACGAATTTGGAATGCTGATAAGTGAAGGTGCCTGGTACCACAAAGAAGGCAGCTCAGAAATGTGCTCAGTGTGTGCATGCAGGCACTTGGGCACTAGGGAAAACCTTCTGCAATTTCAAGCCAAACCATCCAAGATCTATTAGCAAAAGCCAGCTGTTTCCATCTGCTCCGCCTGTGCTGGCTAATGATCTTCATCCAGTGGAGTCTGTACAGCATTTAATTGTTTTTCTTCACATATGCTATTGGTCATGATGATACTGATTGGAAATTTTACATTTGCTTCTCTCCCCTCACGCCACAGAAATTAGAGATTACACTGTAGGTTTTTTCCTTACATTATATTTTTAGAAACACTGGGAAAATCAGGGAAAACAAAGCCCCAAATTTACTGAATCAGAACAGTATAGCATATGGCAGACAATGGATTAAAAAAAAGGACATTTGAAATACAAGGGAGAAATAATAACAAAAAGTGAAAACTGAGGGCTAATGATAGGCTGTAATCAGAAACACTTATCTGTAATTGCCAGTCACCCCAAGCCTGTCCCCATTCAGATTTTGTAAGAAAAGATTCTCAATGAGACTGTTACTAAATTACTGGCTCAATAATTTACACTGCTATCCTGTTGAAGTGGGAAAAAAACTGAGCCTCAATTTATCCGAGTCTTCCCATGTTATGGGGATCAGGAAGAAACGAGAGAAGTAATTGAATCATTCTTCAAAATCCAGACCTTATTGAAGTGTAGTGCTGAATGTCAAGATGTAGCACACTGCTAATTTTTTCCAGCTTAACAGGACAAGGAATACAGTCTTTAAAATGAGGAACAAATTTTATCTGATAGAGTGAATAACCAGTACTAAGCAGACCTTCTCCCATTCTCTGTGGTTCTTCTGCATCAAGCCCACCAGAATGGTACAGCATGGCTCGTTGAAACTCCCTTCATGGTCATCATCTGGTTCATCCAACCAGATTTTAAACTGGGGATTGGTCCAGTATGTTGCCAAGAATTCCCAACAGGAGACAAAAAGGAGGAGGCTTTGCTGTCATTGCAATCAAGATGACTGTCACTAGATTGCAGAGAATATCTCCCAGGAAGGACTTTTGCCTGGAGTTTTTCCCGTTCTTTCCATTGAGTTGTATGGGTTTATGTTTTCACAGCTATGCTGAGTATCATCTGGAGCCATGAGAAATCAATGCACCAGGGTATCTCCTGGGACTAAATACCAACAGGGAGGAGCTGATACTGTTAATTCCAGCCAGTCATGTATCTCCAGGAAATGTCCTTGGCTAAGGCTCTTATTGTTGCAAGAGGACCAAATGCCAGACAGCCTCTCCAGAGGTCTAACCTGAAAACAAATTGGAAATAACAGTGCCACTGAACTGTGACACTTTCCTGGCTTACCCAGCCCTTCAGAGGATTACTCCAGCGAGTAGCAAAAGCCATGTAAGAAGGAAAAGCAGACAGAGAAAAAAAAAAAAAATATTGCTACAAATTAACTGCTTGGTGCACTGGTAATCCCCCATAAGAAAATAAGTGTAAATTAGATCTTCATTTAAACTCCCAGGCTTTTTCTTACTGTCTAAACCCCACAGATATTGTTGTACCTCTAAGCTCTTTTTTTCCCACCAAAGCCCCCTCCAGCCCACAAGCAGTTTTTGAATGTTTTCTTTGGTATTTCACTAAAGGCCCATTTTGTTGGGTCCTCACCTGGGTAATTCTGGCAGTGCCCAGCAGATGAACCCCATCTCCACTGTCCATTAAACAGGGTCAGGTCCCATTTGTTGACCTTGTTGCTTGTCAGTGTGTCAGGAGTCAAATTGCAGATCTCAAGGTGGCTAAACTGCCTTTGGAAATCTGAAAATGCCATCCTGGCATACAAAGAGACAGGTTAGTCCATCAGCCTGCAACAGATGAGGTGGCTGAGGCTGGACACTTTTCCTAACAGTGTTGCAGACCTGTCCAAAGCTGCATTTAATTGAATTCTGAAACTTGGAACTGGCTTTTGGGAAAGAAAATTGCCCACTGCCTGAATGAACTGTATCTTCTGGAGACAGCCTCTGTCCATGGCTGTTACACATTTTGGGCTCAGTCAAACCATTTTCTGTCATCCCCAGCTGTGGGCAATCCCCCATGGATCATGCTCCATAAACAAATTCACTGGAACTGGTGAAGCAATATGTGTGAGGAGATCCCATTTAAAGGGAGTAAGATCTGGCCCTTGTGAAAGCATCACTCTGTAGAAAAACAGTCTCAGTTTGGTGTTTTGCTTCATTCCTATCTTTGGTGTTTGTTTTTACCATTCCTGGTATGTTTGCATGAGTGAGAGAGCTTGATTGCTCCATCCTGCTAGCAGAGGTCTGCTCTCATTTCCTAGTGCCTGATGGCCCACGCAGTTGATTGCACTGGAGGACAGTGGCCATTTATCTTTCCAGGCTAGGACAGAGTGACATCAGTTCAGCACTGATTCATATATAATCAGATCAGGATTATGACAGGCTTTCTATTAGGTCTGAGTAAACAGACTCTTCCCAAGCTGGTAATCTGAACTTTTTCATTAGCGTGTAGCATTTAGGCAAAAAAACAAATCTCAAAATGTAGAGCAGCTGAGGTTCATTCTTGCCACCTCATTAATTTTATTATCATCTGGTCTCTGTATTTTGGATTAGTGCCGAGTTATGCAAGCTCTAATAAAAGGAAATATTTGAATAGAAAAGGAGATAAATAAGAGGCTAACCATGCCTGCACGTCATTATTAACCCCCTCGGTGCTGGCAGTTTTCTCCATCCAATTGAAAGGATTGCTTAAGGCACATAAAATGTCCAAAAGAGTAAGCTTAATGAACAATTCTCACCAAAACTCTCCATCATCTACTTGCTTATCCAGAGCCTGTTTTTGTTTGGGATCAACATAATTCCACTCATGACCACTGCAGACAAAGCACAAAAGCACACTGTTCAGCTGTTGCATTTTATTGTACAGTGAGATCTGAGTTAGATTCTATCCTGGGCTGATAAAGGAGTATATATTTCTTCAACAAATAGATCTTGTGCCCCTCCAAATGACAGCACACCCTGCAACCTGACTGTGCTGGGCTGGAATTAGACTGCAGCAGTATTTGCAACTAAGCCTTGAATTGAATCTCCCCTGCCAGGTGCCAGAAGGTACAAACAGACTGGTTGGATTAGGAAATTCACAGTCTGAAAGTCAGTCAGAGCTTCTGCATTTTAAGATTTATTGGGGTGCCTGATATCCTCCCTATGGAAATGATACAACCTCCATTTTTAAGAGTCTTGAAGGAACAGGAAAGCAGTAAGGTCAAATCAGAAAATTTACTGCAGAAAACAGCATTGCTCCCTTGCCATTCTGATATTAATGTGCTCAGGATGGATTCTGCTCTGATCTGCTCCCATGTGACAATGCAGTGCTGCACCTGCCTCAGCAAGGTTGTCCCATGGTAAAACAGGTATGACAAAAGCAGGATATGGCATATGTGTGTGCCTGAGGCACCTTACCTTGGGGCTCAGCAAAGCAGCTCTGACAAAAGTAAAATTAATTGTAATGTTATCTCTATCCTTAATTATGATACATCAGCACCCAGGCTACAGTCAGTCAGGACAGGAAACTGAAATCTCGAAGTGTTGCATGAAAAAAATATATTGTGGCTCATATGACAGTAAAATTTATGCCATTCTAAATATAAAAATTAAAGAGGTGTTGTCACTACCATGCTTCCAAGACACTTGAAGCCCAGACAGTTTCTGAGAGATTTTGAAACTTTTGTGTCCTTATCTTAGTCAGCATCCCAACTTTTTCGAGATTCTCAGATAGGTACCAAATTCTGGTGTGATTTAGAGCTGAGCAACCTTAGAGTCTATGCAGAGGTATAATGGTTTATCCCTGCTTTAACTCCCAGGAATAGGACCAGTTTGTATATTTTACTTAGGTCTTGGAACTCGTTGGTAGGATCAATATGAGAAAAACTGTCTTGTAAAATGACATGGATGTGGCTTGCATTGCGCTTCTCAGAGTCAAACGAAGGGCTGTTGTCTCTGATGAGAAAGCTCCGTCTGAGGCAGGTATTAATGCCCGCTGGAAAGAATGGATCGATATCCAACATTGGTAATAAATTAACAGTGTTTTATTCCAAATGATTTAGTATCTCTCCTAAATACACTTTGTGATTGGACTAACTGCATTGTTCCAATTTAATTTTTAATAGATTCCAAAATACACCAAAGAGAAAGAAGCAGGGGCATATAAAAACCTACTTATCACTCCAAGATCCAGTCCATTCTACTTCACCTCAGGGATTCCTAAGCCTCACTACTTTCTCTGGCTGTCCTTGGTAATATACCTAAAAGATCCAGAACAAACAGAGCCTGAGCACTTCCATTATTCCAATCATCAGAGGGCAATTGCTTTTCAGATAGGATAAAACATGATTTGTACTTGAATGATGCAGTCCATTACAATTTGCAATAGTTAAAAGACACCTAGATGCCTTCCACCCTTATTTTACATTATCCTGTGCCACCAAGTAAGCCATTAGCTGCAGCATTCACCATTTCATATAATGACAGCAACCTGCAAGGAAAATCATCAGCTACAAACCAGCAGAATATCTACGTCCTCAAAAGCAGGAAACATTGCACAACACAGCAAGGTTGGAAGGAGGTTATCTGGCATGGACATCTGTGTAATGATTCCAGCTTCAGAGGAGCAGGAATACCTGGGGCTCGCTGTAAAGATGAGACTCACAGCAGAGTTCATCAAAGAGGCTTTTACTCTTTTCCCATCAGCTTTGATTGGGAACGTGCTTGCTCCCATCTCACGCAACATAAACACATGGGGAATGGCTGCCTCCTCTCCTGTTCTTCCTTTCTGTACCCTGAATTTTGGTAACAGCTTGGCCCACCTCTACACTTTCTACCCCAGCCTGTTGGTACCATACAAGTGGCAGACTGCACATTGTGCTCCACACCACTACCTGAGAGAGCATCTGACCTTTCTGAGTGCTACAGGTACTTCCTTTTTCTGTATGAATGTATATAAGTTCGTAACATTTTTATGGTCAGTCACTGAAAGACATTCAGAAAGTTGAAGGCACTGCAGTGTTGAAGCCCCAAGCTGGTTTGCATGATGGCCCCAGAGAGGCTGGATTATCTCCTCTGCTCCAGTGATAGAGTAATGTCCTTTTACCAGCTTCAGGCTTGTGATTGCTTCTATTTCAGCTGTAGCAGTTAGTGGAGCAATAAAACTATGCACATTTATGATTATATATTGTGTATGAACTCAGCTTTCATAAGCAAATTAATATGCAGGAAGATATCCAAAGTGGTGTGCACAATGAATACCAATATTCTTGATGCAAAGTACATTAAATTAAGGTGAGATCCACAGCAAAAGCTGCCGTTTCAGCTGCCCTTAAGACTGCCCCTTAACATGCAGTCCAAGCACAGAAGAAATTCAAGAATGTACAGTGAAATCTAAATCTAAATCCAATTCCCAGCTCAGGTGACAGACCCAGTCACCTGCTAAGACATGTTCACATGAATTTAGCTCTAGCCTGTCTCAGATGAGATCCAGTATAGCAAAATTGGAACTCTGGTAATTCTGTATGCCACAATGCAAACAAGATAATGAAGCAGGATGTGAAAGGTGTGAAGTTTTCAAAACTTGTTCAAACATCTGTAACTTGAGAGTGTTTGTATTACAGGTGTCAGTAATCTTTAGGAATGAAAACCAAAGCCAGAATCAGACTACAGGCTACAACAAAGTGTCTCAGCAAGCTTGTCTCTGGCAGTCAAGTGCCCAGAGCTGAAATTAAACAAAATTTGAATGAGAAATGATATTCAGAGGATGGAGTTCCTGAAGACCAGCAGATTGTTCACAGTTCTAAGTATTAGCACATGCTGTCATGTAAATAGGGAGACATGATGAGCATTGATTATTTAGAGCCTTGTCCAAATTTTTTTGATACTGAAATCAATAAAGATCTTACATTAATTCAGTTTGCTCTTGTATCAGACCTTTCTACCCATGTCTTACATTGGTCTGAGCTTTTGTCACAATGTGAGCAAGAGCCCTGAGAAGAGGAGCAGGGAGAGTAAAGCCTTGTCAGCCTCTTACATCGAGGGAGCAGCCAAGAAGTGACCCAGCTCTCAGGACCTTCTGGATGATTTGGTAGAGGTTTGAATGAGCCCTCCACAGCTCATAGGAGTCAGAGATGCCCCCAGTAAAATCCTCAAAGACCTCCACAGTGGAGCCTCCTGCCAGAGCTTCATAAGCACCATTCAGTCTGGGGGGGAAAGGAGAAGAGCTATACAAGGGTTCGTCTCCACCTGCAAGCACAATGTACCAGAGAAAGAAGGAGTTATCATTCAGTATATCTTAATTTGCTTGGTCATCAATGTGACCTGGGGCAAGAAAATTCAGCCCCTTGAAATACAGTTGGCAACACCCTTTATGGACCTAGAAGGAACTGTAGATTCTGAGTAGGAGGGAGGCTGCCTCAGAATGAAGTGTGTTGTGACTGACACCCTTGGTCTGGGCCACCAGCAGGGGCAAAGCCAGGGGCACAGCTCTTGCCCAACCCCATACTTGGCATAGGCCTTCTCCAGCAGCGTGCTCCAGGACTCATTGCCTTCCTCTGAGTGCACGAAAAGCAGCTTCCTGTTCTTGGTGGGCAGCCTGTCATCCAGCACCATGTCCACCCTCTCCCCATACTGCCAGAACTGAGGGAAAGAAGAAAGGAAAAGATGATGGAGGCTGGTGCACCCAAAATAGCTCCCTGCTACCATCCTCCTACACCTTCACCTGTCATCACTTCCCCCAGCATAAGCCACTGTAGTGTTAATCTTGGGTTGGATCGCTCTCCTTTGTAATAAAGACAAACTCCTCCCAGTTCTGGATCATTCAGCAGGCTTCTTCATGCTATAATAAATTTTGTTGATAGGAAATATTAACAGCATCTTGTTGTACATAGCATCAAAAACACTGTCTGAACATGAAAACTGAGTTTACATGGTGGACAGCCCAGAAAGCCAGCATGGAGATAGGATACTCTGAACTATCTCTAGGCTCAAACTTTAAGGAAAAAAAAATCAAAACAATATGCCAGTAAAAATGCCTGTAAGTAGAGGTCATCTAAAGGGGAAGCACTCAATAGTGCCAATTCCTTCTGCAAATACTAGGAAATGCATGAAATGTGCTAGTGCTAAATTTTGGCCTTAAAGCTAGAAATGTTTACTCCAGGATTTGCTGCATTCCTGAAAGGAGAGATGATAATTCACACCAAAACACTCAAAGGTGAGCTGGTGGAAAGGCTAAGTATGTGTTCTAAAACTTCTGTCCTCACCAGAACACCTCCTTTAGCAGAGTGAATCCACACTGCTCCCACCTGTGCCCAACCTCCAGTCAAAGCAGGTTGGATAAATCACAACACTCTGGCTCCACAGGCAAGGAAATAAAGGCAAAGCAGGGAGGGAAAGGGAGGAAGCAGAAGGAACCACACTAGCCTGAATTCACTCTCAATTGCTGGCAGCAACAGAGCTTGGTTTGGGCTCATGCAGCCTGATGGTTCAGCTCAGTTTACAAAATCTGTATAACTTCCCAGAGCCCCATCAGCAGAACCTCACCAGTGAGCGAGCAGATCTCATTCAACATTATTTAATTCTGTTCTTATTTTCTTTCTCTCTCCCCCATCAATTTCACATACACACTGTAACTGTTGATTATTTCACATGTTCCAAACAAAACAAAACAAGAAAACAAACAAACAAAACAAAACAAAAACCCACAGGAAAAAAAATAAAAGAAAAAGCTGCTTCTAGTTAAATACTAGCATTTTTCTTTTTTATTCTCAATCCCCTGATCATAGGGTACCTGGAAATGAAAGATTCCAGCATAGTCCTTCTGGAAACTCTGAGTCTTGGGAAAAACACGGAACAGAATATCTGTATTCAAAGTGATAGTTGCAATGGCAGTTAGGAGCCAGCAATCCACATTACAACCACACATTACAAGGCACAAAAGTTCATTAATAACTTCATTAAGTCACACTCTCACCTGGACTACAATACCAGCAGTAAAAGCTATGCCAGACTCAGTCTTGATTCAGCAATTCATTCTTGTTCTGTTATTTCTCTCTTTTGCTCATTTTCCACTCACCCAAACTACACAGGTACCCTGGGCCCTCTGAGGCTGACCATGGTAGTAATTCAATGGTGCAGTTTGTGCTTTGATTTTGTAATGAAACTGTGAAAACAGGCTGCTTCACCCAAGCTTGTTAACAGCCTCAAGAGATCAAGAACACAGCCAGAAGAAGGCCATTTGAGGTTTGTGGGTTGCAAAGTGGCTGGGCAGGACAGAGTTAATGACCTGTGGTACTTTAAGTAGACTCAAGCCACCACATCTGGTGCAGACAAGGGCTCAGGAGATGTCCAGTAGAGGGCAAAAGCTCTGGGTTGATAGAAGGATGGTGGTACTTTCTTTCCTATCTTTTGAAGAAGATTCAATGGACAGCAGGAACATTTGTGGGCCTGTTCCTCCTCAGCCCTTTCTTTGAAGGTCTGAGCTTGAACTTAGAGCTATTGCCAGAGATTTGCCCAGCGGTCTAATGGAAGGTGAAGTCTCCTGGGACCTTGAGGAGGCAAGTCCTTTCTTTGGCCCATTCCTTACTCTGGAAAGGCTGGGCTTGCTTAGCCATCCCTGGAGGCTGTGTGCCTTGCAGCTGGAGTTGTTTGCTGGGTTGGTTACGTGTTTCTTGAGGATTGGAGGCTGGGTAAGCAGAGGCCTCTGTCACACCAAAGGTTGTGCCCCTGGGAAACACGGTGACTCATGGTGTTTGCACACTACAAACAACAGGAGGAACTTCTGTGATTCTGCTTTATTTCTGAGGGGTGCAGAAAGCCTAGCAAAACAAAACTGCTCTGAAGGTACTAACATTTTACAGAGGATCATTTGTTCCAAGACATAGTTCCTTTGGCAGATGCATATTCTGCAGGAGGAATTGGCATCACAGCTCTTGCTTCAGAGGAAATAAACAAATTGAGAAACGATGGAAAGAATTTAATCTGCAGCAAGACTGAACATCCTAGAGCAGCACTTAACTCTTTATATTGACTTGGGATTTATGATTTAATGCCATGGTGAATACAAGCGTAAAAGTAGGATGAAGGGACTTGCCAGGTGCTCTCTGCTGCCTGTACCCCACAAGGAGGTACCCAGACAGCTCCTATGAGCTTTGAGAAACCTCTGTTAAGGAGTGTCTCCTTGTGTAACCACCTGAGCTGGTTGATCACACTATGGGTCCAAACCCATGCAATATGATATATTTCTACATGTTGTGGCAGTTCAGTTCAGGCAGTTCAGTTCAGGCAGTTCAGTTCAGGCAGTTCAGGCCTTTCTAAAGAGGAGGGAAAATCCATTCTTAGTATGTGAGGTGCTGCTTGAGCCTTCCCCCAGGATTCTCTGCCTTATCTTGGCTGCCACATTCAGAGAAGAGCATTCAAGCTGGAAGGAGGCAGACAAATGTTTGGATTAGTTGCATTTTTTATGAGAAGAGGTTAAAAAAATTTGTTGTGCTCATCCTATACAAATGAAGTTTGAAGAGGAAGTGTGAAGCAGGTTAAATGCTACTTTGCAGAAAAGCTGTTTTAGGCAAGAGCTCTTAGTTGAAAGATAATATTTCCTTTGAGGAGAAGAAGATAAAATAAAAGGATCATGGCATGTTTAAAGTGGAAATGGGGAAAAGTTGATGCTCTGCATATAGAAAAGAAAGTCCAGAAGCCTCAGACTATAGAACACCTATGAGCAAAAACCTTCCAAGAAGGGATCAACTTGCTGGCCTGGAAGTTTCTTCCCAGCCTTAGGTACTTATGTATAAAATAAGCAAAATTATAAGAGCACAAGGTGTGGGAAAAAACAGGTTTTAAGAACATTCGCTCCCCAGGAAATGTAGATGCAGGAAAAATATGTGACTGAGTACACTCAGATCTTCTTTGTAGCTATTTCTTTGAGGCTTTCCTTGGTACAGCGTATGTCTTAAGTTGTTGTAACTTCTGTTTTCCTTGAAGAGGTAGAAATAATGGTGATAAGTCTGGGGAATGGATTTTCAGAGGAGGAAGATGAAAAGCTCTATCAAGTCAGAACTGAAATACTCAGTTTTCCGATGCTCTGGCTGTCCCTGGCATGCTGTGAAGTGCAGAAGGTTATTTCTGAGAAGGTGGCATGGTGGGTGTCCCTGGTGTTCCTGTTGTGTCCCTCCACCCTATGAGACCAGAGAAGGCCTGCAGCAGTGACAAATTGGTGCTCTCCCAATGTGCAACATCTGGAATGGTTTCCCCTAAAATCCCGGCCAGGATTTTAAAGCCAGTGAGTGAAAAACTACTCCAGGTTTTGCTGAGGATGGTGATGTAATTTAAGTAATCCTGACCTGGAGTGTGTGGTGAAAAAATGAAGCCTAGCCATGCCTTTGTGGTGAAAAAATGAAGCCTAGCTGTGCCTATCTCCTTCATGTGTATGTGTGTGTGTGTGTGTGTGTGTGTATAGATACAGACGTGTGATCTTGGAGAACTACTTTGACTGTTAGTGCACTTGAAATAGAATCCCTTGCTGCTCACAGATGTCCTGAGTTGGCTCATGTTCTTTGTGCTACCTAGGCAGCCCCTAGTTTACAGAGATAATCAAATTGTTGCAGCAAGTAATGAATCCTTGGTGACCTGGCAGCATAGCGACTCCTCCGTATTGATGATGTTTATCCAAGCATGCTCCACTTGCAGAGGCCATAAAATAAGTGAGAAATTTGATTAATTTTGGTTGCTCCAGAGCTGTGTTCACTTTCTCTTTAGCTACCATCAAAGTGTATAGACACAAAGCATCTAAACTCTCCTTTGACCTAGAGATGATGAGTTTGAGCCAAAAGTCCAAGTGTCTGGTTCCAGGATGCAACGGGACAGCACAGAGACATTTCTGTCCTGAGTCTATTCTGGCTTGTTGCTGTTTCAGCAATGCCTGGTGTTCAAAAGGATCCAAAACCAGTGCTGTGGCTTCCTGGATTGCCAAGCAGCTCTAACTCTCATCTTTAGTCTCTGCTGGAAGCCCTTGTTCAGAGCTTGTAGTACCCGCAGCATCACACCAGAAAACAAGGAAGCACTGGCCCGCTAGCTTATAATTTATGGCAGTGCATGTTGCCTCTGCTTTGAGAGTTCTAAAGACTTTCTTAGGTTTTCTATGGAAATTAATTTTGTGCTGCACTTGTGTACAGAAAGGCAAAGAAGAATGCAGCAAAGGAAAAGGCTTTCTTCTCCTTGGGGTCTCTGAGTTGTTAGTGAATGTATTTTTAATATCAATGGGATATATTTGCTAGAACCAGAATCTCCAATATCCCTGAGCCCATGGAATTGAATGTCAGAAGGGCCATGTATTAATGTCTACAGCAAAATAAATTAACAAGCCCAGTACTATTAAGTTCTCTCCTGCCTACAACCACTTCAAAGGCTCCCTCAACAGTCATCAGATCTATCTCAGAGCTGTCAGGCTTTGGTTTGTTCTCCAGTATACTTTTAATCTCCCCAAATCTGCCTGTAGGACAAGCCATGCACAAAGCCCATGTGGGGTGGGCTCCTGGGCTGTTGTGAACTGGTGCATTTGCCTTGGCTTCAGAGAGCTCCTCTAGCTGCCAGCCCAGGCCCAGGGAGCGGCTGTGCCTGGGGTGACCTCTGGGCATTCAGAACAAAAGGCAACTCATGAATATAAATAGTGTGGATCTGGAAAGCTAATATTACACTGAGGGGGTTTCAGTATTTCAGTACATTTTATATTATTTAGATTAAATTTATGCCACTTACTTCTTAAGAACTTCTGCAAACAGTCCTCAGGTTAACTTATTCAGATAGCAGCAAGAAAACTTCATAAGTCACCTTTAATAACTAAGACTGTATGACTACATTTCAAGTTGTTACTAGGCTATCAAAAAGATATGGTTCAAAGAACATTTAAAATATTTCAAGACTTTCAAGTCCCCATCAAACTTCCCAAGATGATATTCATCTAGCTTACACTGTTGTCAAAGAAGTAAGTTTAATGGAGTGAGACCAACTCTGGGTTTTCTTGTTCCTTTTGTTCACATAAACCTGGACCTGCAGTGTTATTTTTAAAAGAAAAGAGACATGTCAGAGAATATTATCAAAAATAGGCTCTGTTTCCCTAAAGGATGTGTTACTCAGTCATATATGTGGCTTATGTAAACATGTAATCAGGGTCTGTTTCAATAGCAGTGTTTTACATGAGGGTTTTAGTAACAAGGACTTTGATATTCAAGGTGTTGGATCAAATATCAAAAAAGCTTAGTATGCTTCTGAGATGCAAAGCAAATACCTGAAGGGTAGAAGCCTGAAGTTTATTTTTGTGAAGGGTCAGCGTGTGTAGAAGCAATTGTAAGCAGCTTTGCAAAAACAAACTGGATTATCCTTTTTTTTGGTTTTTTTTTGGTTTTTTTTTTTTTTTGGTCTGTGTGTCTATGTGTGTGAGAGAGAGACAGAGAGAAAATCACCTAATAAGAGCAGAATCAGATTTTGGGGCTTTTCTTCTAGGTTTGGGATAGTTTTCAGGACCAGCCTTTGGGTTACTGCCCCAGCAAAAGATGTCTTGGGAAAACCCAGAGCAAGGCATCATGGTGGGGTCCGGGTTTTGGGATCCAATTCTGTTGTTACCACAATGTGATGAATTTTGGCACAGGTCTCTAATGAAAGCTCATTTAGCACAAGGGACTGAGACTCCACAGAAACATCAGCAGGTGACAGAAGCAGAAGAGGACTCAGGGTATTTGTATTCAGTTTCTAGTCTAAACACAATGCACTGGCCTCTTCTAGTTTAAGAATAGATATTATTTTTCAGTCCTATAGCTTGTAAACTGTCTGGGAAAATTAGGTTTTACTTCAGGTGAATCTTATTAATTTTTTTTATGCCATTTTAGAAACTTTCCAAATAGGAGGTGACAAGAAATGTTGCTTTTACTACTTATTTGAGCCATTCTCCTGAAATACAGTAAGTGATTTCCCCATAGTCTGCTCTAGCATCCACCAAATAAATATCCTGGAGCAAGTCTATGATTGGGCATCTAATTTTTAGCATTTGGAGCACAAGCTCACACACCAGGGAAATTTTTAGCAATTGCTTTAATAGTGCTGTGTTTATAAGAGCAGCACTGGTGTTATTTATCAACAACTTGCAGAAATTGTTTCAATCTCATTTGCACAATGGATGTGCTGGAAAACCAGTGAGGTCAGGAGTACTGCAGTTAGAAACACAGGAGAGAGAAAGGCTGATTTCTCTGTGTCTAATCTATCAAATTCTCATTACAAGAGTTTCAGCCTTCTTGCCTCTCTATGCAGTCAAGTGTTTGCTGCTTCTGTCCTCTGCAATTGGATCTTATCAGCGAGGCAGGCAGGGAAGGCAGCTGCTGCAGCAGCAACTCCGAGGGGGAATAAAGTCCCCTTACAGCTCCCTTCTGGCCACTTGCACAGCAGCTCAGTTTAGCCAAAGGCAAGCACTGCAGAAAAATGGGTAAGGAAGGTTTTTTATGATGGATGTCTGGGAGAGGATGAGTGCTGCCTGAGAGATACTTCCTCTGCATCAGGCCCTGATTCAGGAAGCTGAGCAGCACTGTCTTTTTTGTCTCTGTGGCTGGTTCCTGGTTGCTCCTGTCCCTGTTCACAGCTCTACATGAATGCAGTTCAAGCAGAAAGGAGGGTTCAGCATGAAGAGCTTGGAACAATTTGTTTGCTGTGGATGGTATTACAGAGTTTGCATTCTCTGATCATTTCTTTCTGATGTGGTCCTTGTTTCTAACTCATACTTGGACCATCCTGCTTGACACAAAATGGCAAATTACAGACCCAGCCCCTCTACTAAACCAGTTCCTGCTCTGTTCCTTGGTTGTTGTGTATTTGTTTTGTGTGAAGCTGAGGCAGGAACTTGCTCTGCCTCCCAAATGAAAGCACCTAAGGACTAGGCTACAGCAGAAAACTTCCCTGACATTCCTTGTCCCCTGAGTCTTTGGAGCTGCTCTTGCTGACATGGGCAGAAATGTCTCAGAAATGTACAGAAATGTACTCTCTTGTCTCAGGGCAAGTGCTCCCATGATTAGGCTGGCATCCACCTCTGCCTTAAGAGGTCAAAAGCAAATTGGTTTTCTGTTCCACATAATTACTTCCTTCCTCCAGGAGACAGTTTTGTGTCTTCCAATTTTGACATAGCTTTTACAAGTCCACATATACCCTCTCTCAGGCGGCAGTGCTGGTATGTGAGTCCTCTTCTTGAGTATCTGTCCCTCCATACTATGTCTGGGAGATAGCCAATAAAATGGTTCATGTATCAGGAGTTTTTAAATGAAGCTTCATTTCTTTTTCTTTTTCCAAAGCAAAATTCAGAAGCACTATACATACCCAGGTCTCCTTGGCAGACATCTGTTTGAGTAGCTCCTCCAATTATAAACTGAGGGTTGGCACATAACTCCTGAAAAGACTCGATTTCAAAGTTTGCATCACCCTTTCTGGTCTGAAAAGTTCCCTTTTCTTGTTCCTTGTTTCAATATCCAAAAACTATTAAACACTTTGAACATTTCTTTAAAAGTATACCTTCTCTGTCTGATTAACATGGTCCCAGGACAAAATTTCTTTTTTAAATTGAGGGCTGCATGTATTTTTTTGAGGCAAATCCTGATGCCCTTTGCTTCTAGGCACTGTCACTGATACTACTGAGAATTTCTGCTACAGTGGAGACAGAGGTGAAAATTGACCTCAGCGTTGACATCTTATTTCATCTTGCTGAGACTTTGGTTCAAGCAGCACAAATAAGTTTGTGACTCTAGCTGCTGCCTGTGCCACTGGAACTGTGCTGAGTTTCCAATTCCAACAGTGTGGAGGATGTTCCCCCACCCTGACTGTGCTTTCTGGGAGGCAACCACAGAAATGCTTTTATTAGCAACAACCCCCTCTTTCTTCCTGGCCCTTTGGGGCCAGCCAAGTGGGTTATGGCAATGACTGTCACTCCTACCCCAACAAAAGCCTTTTCTGTTTTTCTGAGAATTTGCCATGAACTTCTGGGTGGCAGCAAGAAGCAGTTTATTGGAAGCCTAACTTGGCAAGCAGAGTTGAAGACAGTTTGGGCAGTCACTGGCTCTCCTCGAGAGCAGAAGTTGTCAGCTCTGAGCATTCTGTGGAGAGACAGAGACAACCCAGGCTTCTTGTGTATGATGGAGAGCCAGTTTGTGCATCTTCCCTCCAATAGGAATGATCTCAGCTACACCCTTTTGTTTCTGTCCAGTGGAGAGGGGTCCAGCAGTAGGTTACCCACCACACAGAAGAAAGTCTTGTGTAATTTTTTCTCTTCTCCTTCCAAAGTGCTGCACGTGGTGTCAGTCAGCTGCATATGACTTATTACTCACCCAGACACGTGTCCTTCCTGAGCCACTCCAAAGTGCCACATGCATCTTTTACACAGCTGAGTTTCCTCTCAGGGGTCCCACAGGCTGGTCTCTGGCAGGCAGGGCTGGGACATTTAACCCTACTGGATCTCAGCCCTCAGTTATTCCTTACACTGCTATGCTTGTGGCTGTGTGTCTGCCTGCAGCAGGCTCAACACTGTTCTTGTATGAGAAACCAAAGTTTAATTTAATGAGTTTTCTAAGGCTGATCTTCCCCAAGGATAGGCAAAGCCAAGAAACACATCCATGGTATTTGTTGAGGTAACATCCAGGTGCCAGAGTGAGGTGATGATGGATAAATGGGATTGCCAGGGTTATTAAACCTGGAGTTACTAAAACTGCAAGTTTCTGTTTCTCACTTGTCAGGTGAAAAAATAATAAAGTCCAAAGACTTGAAATTTTCTGTTCTTCTCATTCTCCTTTCCTCCACCAGATGGAGGTAATTAATCTGGGGGAAGGAATTCCCATTTTTAAAAAAATATTTCTTGATGTTGCAAAATGACAAAGGGGAAGTAAATGGAGACAGAAATAAATGACTGAAAAATAGAGTTCAGAAAAATCTCTGAAGCCCTGATTTTGTAACTTAAAAAAAAATCTAATATTTCCTGATGAAAATTACTTTCTTAGAATCACAGGACATTTCTAGGGTATATGTATTTAGGTAATAACATTAACAGTCAGTTGCTATTTAACTGTTACAGGCAGCTTGAAGTGAGACAGAGGATTTTATTTAGGATTTTATTTACGTATTAGCATGATTTCCTGAGGGGCACAGTGGCTCAGTGTGGGTGATGTTACAAATGATAGTGGCTCCTGGGTTGGCCCATGGTCTGGTGGGGCTTTTGCATCCACCTCTGGATTGCACCCTGGACTTGTAGCTCTCTGGAGCTGGGATGGACAGGAAGAAAGCAGGTTGCTGAGAAGCAGGTGCCCATGAAGCAGTTATAGGATTCCCTGCTTTATAATGGGCTTAGAAGACAGTGATTCCTTTTCCCACCCCCTGTCCAACTTGGCTTCTGCCATGGAAGCAAAACAAGATAGAATTAAGAGAAAAAGACCTACAGGAACAGTGGCTATCCAGCTCACCATTGATTTAACCTGGATGTTCAGCTGGGCTTTGGTTAGGTTTGAACCCAGTGAAATAAGAGAGAACTCTTACCGTGGGGTGCTTCCAGATTATCCCCCGAGATTTGAAGGAATATGATCCCAGGTCCTGGTAGCCGAGAGCAGAAGGACAGGCTGGGAACTCTTCATCCTAGAGTGTGCTGGTCTGCAGGCACTGCTGCTTCAGGGCTTCATAGTCATGCTTCAAATACTTGACGGCATTCCTGTTGGATCCAAGCCCATCCACTGCTGCTCGTTCTTGGCAGAGTCTCACCGTGACCCTGGACATGCTGCCCACCCTCCTAGCATGTGCTGCAGCTCTGCCTTTGCCTCCAGGGCAAAGAGAGGAGGTGAATATGGGCAGGCAGCAGTCTTGGGCAGAGCCAAGGACTGCCCCAAGGGCTCCAGCAGCCCTGGTGGGTGGAGGCACCAGGAGAGCAAATATGTACCAGGGAGATGGGCAGGAGCCACAGCCATCCCACAGAGGCTGGGATCATGGGCACTGCTGCTGCTACTCCCATGGTATTTGCTCTTTTTGCTGTCCCTTTTAAAAACACTCTTTTATCAAGAAGCCAGGGAGAACTTTTTGCAGGCACACCTGTTAACAGATGGAAAGAGACTGTGCATTCCGAGTGCTGAATATGAGATTTAAGGATCAGTCCTTCAAAAATTCAGGTGAAGATGGTTCAAAACTCCTTTCTTCCTTCTGAAATCAAACCCTATGCTGTTGGAGGGTCATACAGTCCCAAGCCTGGAGCTGGATATCTATTGCTACAGTTTACATGGCTGTGGAGATGCCATGGAGTTTTAAAGCTAGGGAAAATGAAACCCACTTCTGGCTTTAATGACAAGTTTTCTTAAAAGACCCTCTCTTTGGTACTCTCAAAGCAGTATGAATTTATGCCTTAATTTATTAGCAACAAGAGATGTGAAGTTGAGAGAGCTAGAGCTGGCCACCTGCAGCGGGCAAAGATACAACCCAGGAGCACGACCTAGGCCAAAAATGGGAAATTTTTTCACCAGATAGGAGTGAAGCTGCTAAGCCCTGCTACTCCTCTCCAGTGTCACCTCGGGCAGAAGTCACTAAAACATGCCCATCTATAAAAGCAGGGTGTGGTCTCAGCTAGTGAGAGATTACCCATGCTATTTACAGTCTTCTGATGGTGTTTTCTGCATATAAAAAGTTTACAGGCAGAAAACAAAGAAAGCCTTGGGTGCAAAAGGCTTTATAGACCTTAGGAAACAGTGGTTCCTGTTCTTATAGGAGAAAAGCTCCATTTCTACCCTAGCAACCCCATTTTGTACTGACACAGGGGTCCATACCTCCCTGGCAAGGTGGCTACCTTTGTAGGTTTAGGAACTGAAAGAGGAAATATTTTCCATGGAGCACAGCTGCTCTCTGCTGTCATCCTGTGTAATGGCTGGGATTCCCCAGCAAAGCCACCAGCTGTCCAGCTGAGAGCTGGGTAAACAGTAACTTTGTTTGCCAAGGAGTATGATTGATGACTACCTCTAGGTAAATTGAAACAGAGGTGTGGGGAAGGAAAGAGGGAATTTTTAAGGAATGAAACCAGTGAGATAAGGAATCCAAACAGAGGCTAGCTGGGTTGCTTGTCTGCAAATATTTGAAGAGAGTGAATGCAGAGGAGGAAACAAAATTACTTGGAACTTCCAGGCAGTGAAGGCTGGGCTGAGGGAATTAATATATCAGTTATCCTAAAATTAAACTAATTAAACGAATTCTGTTGAAATTGAGTAAGAAAAACAATGGCAAGCATTTTATCCCTGTTGCATTTCAGCACTTCCCAGGCATATCTGTGTACAGAAACAGAGTGAGGAGTGGAATAACAAAAGATTGAGGGGAGGGTTTTTTCTTTGCATGGTGGATTTGTTTTCCTGCCAAAAAGACCCACTTAGGGGCACCCACTTTCTTTGCTCATGAGGCAGAATAAGAATAATTCTTCTCTCTCACCCTGCATCAGTGCCTTGTGCTGAAATGTCCTCTCTTCCTGTGATCCGAAGGAATGCTCCCATTTTGCTGTGATTGCTGTAAGCTGCAAGTTTAGCAACGTTGTTCATGGAAAAGCATGGTGCCCCAACAACTGGAAAAGGTAATTTTGAACAAGTGAATATTCTGTGTTCCATGTGCTTTTTGAGACATACACTTGATATGCTCTGTGATCTCAAACTCCAGATGCCACTTTCAGGAAAGGAAATGAAATCTTTCAATTTCAATGAGGTTAAATTTGGCATGCTTTGGTCAATATCCCTGCACTTCATGACATCCCATGACTTTTGATGGTGTTCACTTCAGTGAAGATTTTAAAAATTTTTTTTCAGTTTCTCTGCCATTTCATTCATATCTTCTCCTCAATGTTCTGTCTTCCTCCTTAATTTTTTCCCCAGATTTTGCAACATCTGTGTGTGGTAGCAGTTCTCTGGCTACAGAGAGCGGCACACAACTTTCCCAGGCATTGTGCTGAGAAAGGCTGTGAGTAGATCAAAGAATGATAAACAATTCTTATCTTCACTTGCTGTGCCTGTTGTTGAACATGTGGAATGTGTTATGGAGATTTGTTTACCAAAGGGTGATTTCTTAATTGGCTAATGGTGATGGAGTTTTAATTAAAGGACCAATCTGGTCTGTCTGTATTGGACTATCTGTAAGGGCGATGGGTCTCTTAAGAAGCATAGTATAATAAAGTGATTGATCAGCCATCTGGAATAACAAGTCAATACTAATTATTACAGATGATGCCGTGCTACAACATCTGTGATGTTAGTTTTCACCTGTTTTGGTCCTTTTCACTGTACCTCATTTCCTCCCAGACCAATTTCTTGTAGTCACTAAATTGCCAAAATTTCTTTTTTTTTTTTTTTCAATTGTATTTCCTTTGATCATATCTCCTTTCCAGAGTGTTTGCTAGGTTTTCTTTTCTGTTTCTTTCAGGAAAGGAAATGAAATCTTGCAATTTCAATGAGGATCAATTTGGCATGCTTTGGTCCATATCCCTGCACTTCATGGCATCCCATGCCTTATGATGATTTTCACATCGGCGAAGATTTTATTTTTCAGTATCTGTGATACTTTATTAATATCATTCCCTCAATGTTCTCTCTTCCTTCTTGATTTTTTCCCCTGATTTTGCAAAGTCTGTGAGGTTAGTTTTGGCATGTTTTGGTCCTTTTCACTGCACCTCATTTCCTCCCACACCAATTCCTTGTAGTCACAAAATTTCCCAACTTTTTTTTTTTTAATTACATTTCTTTTGATCATATCTCCTTTCCAGAGTGCTTGTAAGTCTTTCTTTTCTATTTCCAAGATTTCGTTTCCTTTCCTGAAAGGAATAGGAACTGATACCTTTCACTGCAGGGAAGGTTTGGATTTTTTTTTTCCATCAAAAGGCATAGGATGCCATGAATTGCAGGGATATGGACCAAAGCCTGCCAAATTGATCCTCACTGAAATCTTGAAAACACAAAAGAAAGACTTAAAAACACCACTCTGGAAAGGAGATATGATCAAAGGAAATGCAACTTAAAAAAAAATAAATAAAATTGAGAAATTTAGTGACTAGAAGAAAGTGGTCTGCAAGGAAATGAGGTGCAGTGAAAAGGACCAAAATGTGCCAAATCTAACCTCACAGATGTCGCAAAATCAGGGAAAAATCAAGGAGGAAGTCTGAACACTGAGGGGAAGATATGAATGAAATGGCATAGATACTGGGAAAAATAAAAGAATTCTTCACTGAAGTGAAAGTTATCAAAAGGCATGGGATGTCATGAAGTGGAGGGATATTGACCAAAGCATGCCAAATTTAACCTCATTGAAATGGAAAGATTTCATTTCCTTTCCTGAAAGGAAATTTACAGTTTGTGCTGGTAATACATGTAGCAATGCAAGACTTCAGATAATTTTTTACTTTTATATGTAACCATTATTTGAAATATTTAAGAGTTGGAGTTTTCCCCCCATAAAATACTTCTCTCTGAATTGTTGCTCAGGGTTTACACATAATAGCCCACCCTGTAAAATATGTTGCGGATACTCTGCAGAAACTGCAGTTTAGCAACTAGTGTTGATAACGTGGGTTAAATGACATTCCTTCTGCAGTGATGGAAACTCTGAGACTGACATACGCAGACATACTCAACAAAGGTTACGGTGGCTTACCTCCTGTCCTAAAGTTAATGTGCATTTTAAAACTTCCCAAGAAGGTGAATTCAAGCTCCTTCATTGCTCTATGCTGGAGGCCAAAGAGAATTTCAGTGTACTTTTTGTCATTTACAGCTGTCATTGCTTACCTCTTGAACATAAGACTCCCTCATGACTGATGAAAATTGTCTAGTTAAGAGTGGGTCAAAGACATGTTCTGCTCTAGAAGGAGATGAGAAGATTTTTGCAGTCTTAGTCATCTCTACTGCTTGTGATTTCTATATGAAACCGGTGGGAAGTTTATGGTGGTGTTCGAGGGTGCCAGGACCTGGGAAGAGAGGAGAATCTTGGCTCCATGTTTCAGAAGGCTGGTTTATTATATTATGATATATATTATGTTAAAATGCTATACTAAAACTATACTAAAAAAATAGAAAGAAAAGATTCATCAGAAGGCTAGAAAGAACAGGAGAGGAATGATAACAAAAGCTCGTGACTCTCAGAGAGATTGGCCATTAATTAGAAACAACCAACATGAACCAATCACAGATGCACCTGTTGCATTCCACAGCAGCAGATAGTTATTGTTTACATTTCTTTCCTGAGGTTCCTCAGCTCCTCAGGAGAAAATCCTGGCAAAAGGATTTTTCATAAAATATCACGGCGACATTGGTTTTCAGAAGGTAGTCCAGAAGGTGGCAATATGGACAGCTTAGAATGGAACGCTTGCTGCAGTGCTACCATGGTGATAACAAAAAGGACTTAAAACATTAAAAAGGGCAAACAAAGCAGTTGGAAGGAAAAGAACATTAACCATTATTCCATTCTTCTAATAGATCCTTCTTTAAATCATCATTTTCATGCAGTTTCACAGCTTGAGTTGGTATTCCTAAAAGGAATCTGAGACAGAGTAAGCTTTTTAGTGGAGTAGATGTGACAAACACAGGCCATGCTGCCTTTTTTTACATCAAATACAAGTCATGCTTGAGCTACTCTTTGCTTAAGGTACTTAGCACACACTAAGAATTTTACTCATGATTGAGTAAATTTTACTGTCATTCAGAATTCTCTGGCTTCCTTTGGTTTTCATTTTGGTTTTCTTCCTCTTGCTCTTTTTCATGTCACCTTTCTAG